TGAAGGATGGCGCACAATTTAGTAGTGAACAACACATTACTAGATGACTCATCTGAGGGAGATTAGAGGGGTTGAATTTGCAAACGTGGTGTTACGCACGCTGCGCGTACGGGATTGCTCCGACTAACCACACGATATTATCTTTCCCGAAAATTTGATTCATTTGATTCGAAACTGACTCACGTATACAAGTATACAGCAGCCAATGTACAGTATTTTAAAAAATACACCTTTATATGAAATAAATTTCGTTCGTTCCTGTACGCAGTTTCAAGTTCCGATCAAAATTCTGCAGAATTCAAGTAGAATGCCACGTCACGCATCAGCTTTTTTTAAAAATAAAAGTGCTTCGTAGAATTTAGCAGATTCTGTACCATACAATAATCCATCATTACAACACAACTTCAAAATGGCAATTTTCATCAACCTTCCAACCCCTTCAAATGGTTGACATCAAGGAAGACACGGACATCTCCACTTTTTACACAATTCACTTCTACACGCATCACTAAAGCATGTAACATAAAAAATGGAGACGTGAGAAGATTCCGAACATATGGTAGTGAAAATCTACCTGTGAAAAAGGCTGATGGATTCGATTTCATCTCGACTGTAAGCGTTCAAGCACTTATTGCATTCGTCGCTCATCTCAAAAAAGTCGATGCACAGCTAACAGTAGCTGTATAGTATCGGTATCTACCGTATTCCAATATCGAGCGATCTGGTCCCCAACATGACTCGCTGAAGCGTACTATCATAACGTCTGAATAGAAGTTTTCGCATGGTTTTGGGACCCTATGAACTCCCAAGACACAAAGTACTTGATCAATTCGGCGGAGGTTGCTTCTGGTGATATATGGAAGGACTTTGAACTCATTCGGTGTTCGATATCAGGCTGTCTTGGTGCAAAGATTGTCAACCGAGTCCAACAAGTAGCAAAATTCGTCAGAAATAGATGAACACTGCACGGCATGGGCTCCACTAGAGGAGGAAAAGTTGGAATCAGATGCGGCGGAAGGCTTCATGGATATATAAGCTATGACATGCGCCGTGATTACTACTTGTTTGACCTCAAGTCATTCCACAATCAACAAGTGTCGTTGGGATCATCTTTTGGTGGATTGGAACTGAGTGAGTCTCACACGATGTCATCGTTCTAATTGTTCTTCCAATCTCAGATACATGCAGGCTGCGTAATGTTTTTCAATTGCGTTCGCTCTCGATCCGATGTCCAACTACAGGGTGCTACAAACATCTTCCATGATATCTTGAGGGCGGATGGCCAGCAAAAAACTCAAATCTGGGATGCCATTCTGACATTGATGAATCGTGCGTTGATATTCTGTTGTGTCATTCGAGCATGCTCTATTGTGTGAAGACCAATGGTACGCGTACTAGCGTTTCGCTCAATAAAGTCTTTCTTATAGTACTGCTGAATGGATTCCCAAAGTACACCATTGTGCGAAGCCGGTTCCACTATGGACATTCCGACGTCGAAATTCAGTCCAAGATTCAGGACTACGGGGCCCCACTTTGTAACATACGACAAGATCTGATAGATGCATGGTACAATGAATACTGTTGCTGCCGAGCCAAGAACAATCCCAGTGAAATCATCGGGGGCGCGAGTTTGAGTAACAGCAATCATGACATCATGGCCACTCATATAATCCGGAAACGATGACAATTCGGCCTGAAATGACGGAAAGTTGCATATTATCATCGGAAACTCTTGTACCCAAACCGAATGATGTCCTGCTTGCCCGTGGCAAACGGATCCAAAAGCATCCTGGAAACATTTCCTTCCAAGATTGGATGCAGGATCATCGATCGGAATACGAAAATGCTTACAATGAGTTCAAACGACGACAGGTGGTGAAGGAACTCAAGAGTCGAAATACTAGCCGTAAAATCGGATTCAATTTTCTCTTCTTGTGGGGGGCATGCATGACATGCACTTCACCTGATTTTGACGAAATTTTGCCACATGATGGACTGGGTTGAGAATCTGAACAAAGGCACCCTGATATCGCACATCACACGTTTCCAAAGTCCTCATCGCAGTATAACAACAGAAACAACCTCCGCCAAGATTATTAAGCTCTTTGTATTTAGAAAGAAACAGTGGCATGTTAGCGCCAAGATACATAACGGTGCGAGATTCGACAAGCATGGCATCCAGTAACTTTCGAGAGGATCAATCCACCTCGGAGCGAGGTATTTAGTATGGAAGCATGAAGAATATAGAGGTTGTAGATACACAATGAAAATGAAGTCACAGTGCTATGAAACCTGTAGTGATGGTGAGGCCCTCATGCTTGATACCAGCAGCAATAGCTAGTAGTCGTAGGTAGGTACAATCATAGGAATAAAGTTATCTACTACAATCATTATCGTAGAGCTTGCTTTGTTCAATAGCTACATAGTTCAGGGCGTGTCGTAGGAAAACTTCAAACTGGACAATGAGAACGCAAAACCATCCGGACACGTTGGAATCAACGTCACTGATGCAATGTCGTTGGACATGTCGAAAAACTGCGGCATGAGTTGAGCTTCTTCTCCGTTATCAGATAAAAATGGAAGGGGAATGGGACCAATTTCCGTTTGGGAGAACTGCGTTGTGAAGGAGAAGTGTAATTCTGTGACAGATGCATTGTGATTATAGAACTGAAAGCTCTCCAGCGAGAACGTCCCCCGATCAGTGCGGGCAATGGTCGTTGGCTTGTCAAAGAAGAGGACAGACTCCTTTCCTGGAATAAAGCATTCACTGTTGGCACAGTCCACGACCAAAGGCGGAGGCCTGAAGTCAAAGCCACAGTAGCTTCGGACACTACCAAAAGTTGAACCGCTCTCGATTGCCGGAGGGCTGTCAAAGTCTAACGTAGTCGTAATTCTGCCTCCTCCTCCTCCTGCTGCTGCTGCTGATGTCGATGTATATGTTTCAGGGCATGACGAAGCACCAACAAGGTTGTTCGTTGTGACCAGCAGAGGTAACGACGACAGTAACACAAGTGCGATGCAACGACCCATAGCACTGCTGTATGTCGATCGTATTGTCGTGGGTACTAACTATGCCGGTAGAATACAGGATGTACGAAATAATGTGCATAGAATACTGGTAGCTATAATATCTTGAATCTAGGTATACATACCGGTAGATATATCTCAGATTGTGGTACCAACCGCAAATTTTGCCGGCGTGGCTAACAAGATTGGCCACAAGATTAGCGAGCGCCATAGTTTCTCATCCTCTCCGCGGTAAAGCGCAAACGCGTACAGTAATAGGTTCAGAACATACTGCACCGATAAGTGCACAATCGGTCTTCGAAGCTTTCCCTCCTCCTGTGATCTTGAACGAAAGATCTCGTGCGATCCATGGACATGTTAGTTATGAAAATATATATTGCTCGCACTTTCTGCGCGAAGCTTATAATTAAACGCGTAGGTCCTACAGAAACCACATGAAAATACTTTTTTCTACTCGTAGTTGCTCGTAAATATATATACCGGTAGGTTCTCTACATTATCGTGTGTACAATGGCTCATCTGGCAGCCAACCCAGCCCATTTTCGGCAACGGAAACAAGGTCCACGCCTGCCAAATCCTCTCACGTTTTGTCAAACTGATACAGTAGGTGTAGAGTTGTCACAACGGTAGTGTGAGCTAATCGGTCTATCATCAGGCAACATGAAGGCCGTTCAAACACTTGCCAAGCTACTACTACTACTAGTATTACTCTCAGTGTCGGTAGCTCCCGCTGCCGGCCGCCATCATCATCGAGGTACCAAGAAGAGAAGGATGCAAAAGATGCTAAAAATGAAAAAGAATACAAGCGTTACTACTAGCCGAAAAGGTACAAAGCTAACTGCCAGTTCGGTCAAAGGTGCCACGGGCAAAGGTGCCAAGAAAGGTACAATAGTCGTAGGATCCAAAGGAATTGGTGGCAAAGGAAACGGTGGCAAAGGAAACGGTGGCAAAGGAGGTTCGAAGGCAGGATTCAACGCTCCCTTTCCAGCACCTGTAGTGCTATTGCCATTGATACCGACTTTGGCTCCATCGATGGAGGAACCCAGCAGACAACCCGTCACAAGAATTCCAACAAGGACCCCCCCATCTGGCGGTGGTAGTGGTGGCGGTGGCGGCGGTGCTGCTGCTGCTCCAACCGTATGCTTGTCGACCCCTTGCCAAACAACAACGCCTCAATTCGTGCCCTGCGGTGTCGGTGGAGTTGCTTTCTTTTCACCCCTTGCCACAAGAACCCTTACTGCAGCAGGTCAGACATTGTCTTTTGACTTTATCGGGCTCCCCGCTCCCATCGCTGGAACCACTGTCTTTATTGGAGCGTCTTACACAGGCGATATCGTAAATGCTAACCAGTGTATGGAGCTACAAGGTGAAGACGGTCCTACTTCTTCTGGTTTTTGTAAGCTTACATCTACAACCACTGCTACTACTGCAAATGCTTTCACAACAGCCACCGCAGCCGAGTTCAACGCTTGGAACGCGGATGGAACAGTGACAATTCAACAGGATGCAAGCAGTTTTGTCACTCCGATCGGCACGGATGTCGGAAGCGTCTTGTTGGCATATTGTACCCTTCAATCATGTGGCCTGGCTAGTGTCACTACGCCATGTCCAAATCAACCAGCTACACCGGTGGACTGTACTGCCTTTCCTGGAACAACTTCGGTAACGACTCCGACTCTCACTGCCACTTTGACTACAAGTGGCCAGGCTCTCGCCTTTTCATTTACTACATTGGTCGACGCTATATCTCCCGTGAATATCATTGCGTCCTATAATGGTGATACGGATGAAAGTACTCCATTCGATGAATGTCTAGACATTGTGGCTGAAGGGGGTGTCTTTTCCGGATCTTGCTACTTTGATGAGACCACCACTGGTACCACCAACCCAACGCAGGTTGTAACGCAAGCGACGGCAGCTGAATTCAACGCTTGGAATGCGGATGGGACCGTGACGATTACATTGGATGCGGATAGTGGCGTTGGCCCTGGTGATGGGGGTGGAAACGATGGCGGAACCGTCCAATTGCAATATTGTGCAAGAGGATGTGGCACTCCTGGTGTCACATCCACTTGTCAGAATCAGCCAGCGACTCCTGTCGACTGTGCTGCCTTTCCTGGTACAGCTTCGGTTACAACTCCAACTCTCACAACGACTTTGACTACAAGTGGCGAGGCTCTCGCGTTTTCCTTTGCTGGACTATCCGATACTGTGTCTCCTGTGAATATCATTGCGTCCTATAATGGTGATACCGATGACAGTACTTCATCCGATGAATGTCTTGACATTGTAGCTGAAGGTGGTGTCTTTTCCGGATCTTGCTACTTTGATGAGACCACCACTGGTACCACCAACCCAACGAATGTTGTAACACAAGCGACGGCAGCAGAATTCAACGCTTGGAATGTGGATGGAACCGTGACGATTACATTGGATGCCGACAGTGGCGTTGACCCTAATAATGGAGGTGGAAACGATGTTGGAAGCGTCCAATTGCAATATTGTGCAAGAGCATGCGGCATTCCTGGTATCCTTGCCGCTTGTCCAAATCAACCTGCTACTCCTGTCGACTGTGCTGCCTTTCCTGGTACAACTTCGGTAACGACTCCGATTCTCACTGCTACTTTGACTACAAGTGGCGAGGCTCTCGCGTTTTCCTTTGCTGGACTATCCGACTCTGTGTCTCCTGTGAATATCATTGCGTCCTATAATGGTGATACCGATGACAGTACAACATCCGATGAATGTCTTGACATTGTAGCTGAAGGTGGTGTCTTTTCCGGATCTTGCTACTTTGATGAGACCACCACTGGTACCACCAACCCAACGAATGTTGTAACACAAGCGACGGCAGCAGAATTCAACGCTTGGAATGTGGATGGAACCGTGACGATTACATTGGATGCCGACAGTGGCGTTGACCCTAATAATGGAGGTGGAAACGATGTTGGAAGCGTCCAATTGCAATATTGTGCAAGAGCATGCGGCATTCCTGGTATCCTTGCCGCTTGTCCAAATCAACCTGCTACTCCTGTCGACTGTGCTGCCTTTCCTGGTACAACTTCGGTAACGACTCCGATTCTCACTGCTACTTTGACTACAAGTGGCGAGGCTCTCGCGTTTTCCTTTGCTGGACTATCCGACTCTGTGTCTCCTGTGAATATCATTGCGTCCTATAATGGTGATACCGATGACAGTACAACATCCGATGAATGTCTTGACATTGTAGCTGAAGGTGGTGTCTTTTCCGGATCTTGCTACTTTGATGAGACCACCACTGGTACCACCAACCCAACGAATGTTGTAACACAAGCGACGGCAGCAGAATTCAACGCTTGGAATGTGGATGGAACCGTGACGATTACATTGGATGCCGACAGTGGCGTTGACCCTAATAATGGAGGTGGAAACGATGTTGGAAGCGTCCAATTGCAATATTGTGCAAGAGCATGCGGCATTCCTGGTATCCTTGCCGCTTGTCCAAATCAACCTGCTACTCCTGTCGACTGTGCTGCCTTTCCTGGTACAACTTCGGTAACGACTCCGATTCTCACTGCTACTTTGACTACAAGTGGCGAGGCTCTCGCGTTTTCCTTTGCTGGACTATCCGACTCTGTGTCTCCTGTGAATATCATTGCGTCCTATAATGGTGATACCGATGACAGTACAACATCCGATGAATGTCTTGACATTGTAGCTGAAGGTGGTGTCTTTTCCGGATCTTGCTACTTTGATGAGACCACCACTGGTACCACCAACCCAACGAATGTTGTAACACAAGCGACGGCAGCAGAATTCAACGCTTGGAATGCGGATGGAACCGTGACGATTACATTGGATGCCGATAGTGGCGTTGACCCTGGTAATGGAGGTGGAAACGATGGTGGAAGCGTCCAATTGCAATATTGTGCAAGAACATGTGGAACTCCTGGTATCACTACTGCTTGTCAGAATCAGCCAGCGACTCCTGTCGACTGTGCTGCCTTTCCTGGTTCAATTTCAACGACCTCGACGATTCTCACAACGACTTTGACTACAAGTGGCGAGGCTCTCGCATTTTCCTTTGCTGGATTGGCCGACTCTTTGTCTCCAGTCAATATCCTTGCAACTTTCGATGGTGACATTGATAGTGGCGCGGTATCCAATGAATGTTTTGATATTGTGGGAGAAGGTGGTGTCTTATTTTCAGGATCTTGTTACTTTGACGAATTAACGTTCGGTGCCACGGGCGTAACGCAGGTTGTAACGCAAGCGACAGCAGCAGAGTTCAACGGTTGGAATGCCGATGGAACCGTCACAATTATTTTGGATGCAGACAGCAACGTACTTCCTGGTGTCGATTCATCAGTTGGAACAATCCAATTGCAATATTGCATCACACCAACCACAGGAACATGTGACACTCCAGGTATAACTACCGCTTGTCCCAATCAGCCTGCGACGCCTGTAGACTGTTCTGCCTTTCCCGGTACAATTTCAACGTTATCTACTGTTCAAACTGCCACTTTGACTACAAGTGGCGAGGCTCTTGTACTATCATTCACTGGATTGGCGGACTCTGTGTCTCCTGTCAATATTCTTGCATCTTTCGACGGTGACGATGATCAGGGTGTAGCACGAAATGAATGTATTGATATTCTTTCTGAATTTGGTGTCTTTACTGGATCTTGTTACTTTAATGAAGAAACGTTCGGTGCCGCCGGGAACGTCCAGGTTGTAACGCAAGCGACAGCGGCAGACTTCAACGCTTGGAATGCGGATGGAACGGTGACGCTAACTTTGGATGCCGACAGTAACATCAACCCTGGTGGCGGTTCATCTGTTGCGACAATCCAATTGCAGTATTGTATCATTGAACCCCCAGCAACATGTGGCACTCCTGGTATAACTACCGCTTGTCCAAATCAGCCTGCGACCCCTGTGGACTGTGCTGCTTTTCCTGGTTCAATTTCAACGACCTCTACGGTTCAAACTGCTACTTTGACTACCAGTGGCGAGGCTCTCGCATTGTCGTTTGCTGGATTGGCCGACTCTGTGTCTCCAGTCAATATTCTTGCATCTTTCGATGGTGATGATAATAGTGGCGCAGCATCCAATGAATGTATTGATATTCTTTCTGAATTTGGTGTCTTTACTGGATCTTGTTACTTTGACGAATTAACGTTTGGAGCCACTGGGAATGTGCAAGTCGTGACACAAGCGACAGCAGCAGACTTCAACACTTGGAATGCCGATGGATTTGTCACGATTACTTTGGATGCCGACAGGATTGTCGACCCTCGTGGCGATTCAAATGTTGCCTCAGTCCGATTGCAGTATTGTATCATACCACCCCCACAAACATGTGGCACTCCTGGCATCACTACCGCTTGTCCAAATCAGCCTGCGACTCCTGTTGACTGTACTGCCTTTCCTGGGACAATTTCAACGACGACTACGGTTCAAACTGCCACTTTGACCACAGGTGGCGAGGCCCTCGCATTATCCTTTACTGGATTGGCCGACTCTGTGTCTCCTGTAAACATCCTTGCATCTTACGATGGTGACATTGATCGGGGCGTAGCACGCAGTGAATGTATGGATATTCTTTCTGAATTTGGTGTCTTTACTGGATCGTGTTACTTTGACGAACTCACGTTTGGTGCCGCTGGGAATGTGCAAGTTGTGACTCAAGCCACAGCAGCAGACTTCAACGCTTGGAATGCGGACGGGATGGTGACGATTACTTTGGATGCCGACAGTAACGTCCTTCCTGGTGTCGATTCGTCAGTTGGGACAATTCAATTGCAATATTGCATCGTACCGCCACCAGCAACATGCGGCAGTCCTGGTATAACTGCCGTCTGTCCAAATCAGCCTGCAACTCCTGTGGACTGTGCTGCCTTTCCTGGTTCAATTTCAACTACGTCTACTATTCTCACTACTACATTGACTACAAGTGGCGAGGCTCTCTCGTTATCCTTTAATGGATTGGTCGACTCTGTGTCTCCCGTGAATATCCTTGCATCTTACGATGGTGACATAGATGGTGGCGCAGCAGGAGCCAATGAATGTATTGATATTCTTTCTGAATTTGGTGTCTTCACTGGATCTTGTTACTTTGACGGTTTAACATATGGTGCTGCCGGGAATGTGCAGGTTGTAACGCAAGCGACAGCAGCAGACTTCAACGCTTGGAATGCCGATGGATTTGTCACGATTACTTTGGATGCCGACCGCAATGTCGACCCTAGTGGTGGCGGATCAAATGTTGGAACAATCCAATTGCAGTATTGTATCATACCACCCCCACAAACATGTGGCACTCCTGGCATCACAAGCGCTTGTCCCAATCAACCTGCGACTGCTGTTGACTGTTCTACCTTTCCTGGCTCGATTTCAACGACGTCTACTATTCTCACTGCTACTTTGACTACGAGTGGCCAGGCTCTCGTGTTTTCTTTTACTGGACTAGCCGATTCTGTGTCTCCCGTCAATATCCTTGCATCTTACGATGGTGACGATGATCAGGGCGCAGCACGCAATGAATGTATTGATATTCTCTCTGAATTTGGTGTTTTTACTGGATCTTGTTACTTTGACGAACTCACGTTCGGTGCCACCGGAAATGTGCAAGTTGTAACGCAAGCTGCAGCAGCAGACTTCAACGCTTGGAATGCGGACGGGATGGTGACGCTAATTTTGGATGCCGACAGTAATATCAACCCTGGTGGCGGTTCATCAATTGGAACAATCCAATTGCAATATTGTATCCTACCACCACCAGCAACATGTGGCACTCCTGGTATAACTACCGCTTGTCCAAATCAGCCTGCAACTCCTGTGGACTGTGCTGCCTTTCCTGGTTCAATTTCAACTACGTCTACTATTCTCACTACTACATTGACTACAAGTGGCGAGGCTCTCTCGTTATCCTTTAATGGATTGGTCAACTCTGTGTCTCCCGTGAATATCCTTGCATCTTACGATGGTGACATAGATAGTGGCGCAGCAGGAGCCAATGAATGCATGGATGTTCTTTCTGAATTTGGTGTCTTCACTGGATCTTGTTACTTTGACGGTTTAACATATGGTGCTGCAGGCATACCGCAAGTCGTGACGCAAGCGACAGCAGCAGACTTCAACGCTTGGAATGCGGATGGAGCCGTGACGATTACTCTGGATGCCGATCGTGGCGTTGGCACTGGTGGCGCTTTTTCAAAGGTTGCAACAGTCCAATTGCAGTATTGTATCATACCACCCCCACAAACATGTGGCACTCCTGGCATCACTAGCGCTTGTCCCAATCAACCTGCGACTCCTCTTGACTGTTCTACTTTTCCTGGTTCAATTTCAACAACGTCAACGATTCTCACTGCCACTTTGACTACGAGTGGCCAGGCTCTTGCGTTTTCATTTACTGGATTGGTCGATTCTGTGTCTCCCGTCAATATCCTTGCATCTTACGATGGTGACATTGATCGGGGCGTAGCACGCAGTGAATGTATGGATATTCTTTCAGAATTTGGTGTCTTTACTGGATCGTGTTACTTTGACGAACTCACGTTTGGTGCCGCGGGGAATGTGCAAGTTGTGACTCAAGCCACAGCAGCAGACTTCAACGCTTGGAATGCGGACGGGATGGTGACGATTACTTTGGATGCCGACAGTAACGTCCTTCCTGGTGTAGATTCATCAGTTGGGACAATACAATTGCAATATTGTATCCTACCACCACCAGCAACATGTGGCACTCCTGGTATAGCTACCGCTTGTCCAAATCAGCCTGCGACTCCCGTAGACTGCACTGCTTTTCCTGGTACAACTTCAGTCACGACTACGGTTCAATCTGCTACTTTGACTACAAGTGGCGAGGCTCTCGCGTTTTCATTTCCTGGATTGGTTGACTCTGTGTCTCCCGTGAATATCCTTGCATCTTACGATGGTGACATAGATGGTGGCGCAGCAGGAGCCAATGAATGCATGGATATTCTTTCAGAATTTGGTGTCTTTACTGGATCTTGTTACTTTGACAAATTGACTTTCGGTGCAACAGGCATACCACAGGTTGTAACGCAAGCGACAGCAGCAGACTTTAACGCTTGGAATGCGGATGGAACGGTGACGCTAACTTTGGATGCCGACCGCAATGTTGGCGCTGGTGGCGCTTTTTCAAATGTTGGAACAATCCAATTGCAATATTGCGTGTAATCAAAATAGTATCGGATCGAAAGGTGAGAATGTCCTGTAGTTAAAGGTAATAGTAATAGATCAATATTCGTTTATACCTTCGAATCATCTTCGCTACAGTGGCGTTGGCACTGGTGGTGGTTTAAGAGTTGCAACAGTCCAATTTCATTATTGTGTTTAATTGAAATAGTAACTGATCGATAACTGATCGATAGGTCATGTCCTGTAGTCAAAGGTAATATTAATGGACCAATATTCGTTTATAGCCACTAAGCCTTTGTATCATCGTCGGTATAGATTCACAACAACTATTTTGTCTTCCTTTTTTCTTGAAGACTGATTTTGGCTAGTAGCAACCATTCAAATTATCACTACAAATAGATTGTCTCCAGCCTGTATCAGAGGTTGACGAATATATCGCTAAAGTTGAAACTGTATAGCTATGTGATTTGCATTCTTGGATTTCAGGAATCAGTGCATTCACATATGCAAGTCACGGATCTCTTGTTCGAAACATTCTCTATAAAGCACCAATCACGACCGAAATATAGTCTGGGAAAATCAATATTGTATATCAGAAAGGAAAGAATTTTTTGTTGCTTCGGAAGGATCATTCTTATTACACTTGGAGGATGAGCGCGCCGGTCGTATCAATCTGGTGCAATATCATCAATACCTGTTGTGGATCTGCTGAAGGCACAACAGCAAAAGCTGGAGGCGAGACAGCATGATTCAAGAACAACAGACTCAAACTCCTTGCCTGCAAATATGGTGTGATTGTTGTGTTGGAACATCTGGATGATGAAAAGATGTTGGTTATCGATGTTGCATGCTGTATCAACCCATTTCATTATGCATTTCGATTTTGCGGCTCCTCTGCTGGGGGTGGTACCTCTCCGCCTGCTGCTTCTGGTACGTATGCTTTTATGTGGAGGAAGCCAATCAAATCTGTGGAGGAGTTATTGGAAGACCGGCTGGTACATGCAAAAATATGTCCCATTCAAACAAGGTTGGGCTACAGGATGGTCGTTGGTACATCTGGTCTGGGACCGGGTCGGCAAAGCTTACGCCGAGCCTGCTTTCCGGATATGTCAACCGATCTGAAGACATCCATGCATGTGAAAGTTAGGGTTAGGGTAAGGAGTCTTGCTCAATATTCAGGATATTGAAGAAAAGATTCGGAACATTGACAATAACATCCTTCTTGTCAAGGAGGGTATTGGTCGTGACCAGTCTCCGAACGGAGGTCAAGGAACTGTGTGGGAAGCCATTGCACAAGTGTTGGAAACGACTCTGGGAATTGAGTCAGTGGAGGAGAGTGCGAGAGGCTTGAGCAGGGAAATCGCTATCATGGAATCCACCTTGTCAGGAAAGGTAGACTCACTTGATTATGAAGATACTATGATACCCTTGGAGAAGGCGCTCGTTTGTCTTGTGGAAAGAATCATGACTCTTGAGACAAGATTTCCTTTGGAGTCTCCGAAAGCTCACCAGGAACATTCGTCCTCCCGTTTTCACAAATTCAATCAAGGTGAAGAGCTCGACAGCATTCAAGGTCGAGTGGTAAAGTTAGAGTCAATTCTTCAGACGATGCGCGACTCTGGTTTTGGTGAAGGTGTGGAGCGCCCATGTTCCAGAGAGGGAAGTTAAGCATTGTCCGCCCGGAATTGACCATGAGTCTAAGTCAAGAGAGAGAGAACGAGTTAATAGATGGGAAGGTGGATTTGCCAACCTTGGTAAAGCCAAGGAGGCTCCAAGAGGTTTGTCAAATGACCCAAAGTCCGACAATAGGAACAAGGATCAGATGGATCTCATTCTTGAGCACTTCCGGACTGAGCTCAAGTTCATTCAAGCCAAGGTCAAGTCCTTAGAGACACCTCATCGAGGTGAGACGGTTGAGCATAACGGTATCCGGTTCTTGTTCGTTGAGGACTGTGCCCACTTGCTGAAGACCTACAACTTTGATGTGGGCTTCTTCCTTGATTTCTGCAGCACTATGGTAATTATGGGAGGCAGAGGCAAAGACTATGATGGAAAAGAAAGTTCTGACGTCTGGCATTCCGCAAGACGAACTGGCTCCACTATCAAGACTAATATGCTTCTTGCTGCTATGGCTCGTGTCCGTCCGGAAAAAATATTTGCCAAAGGAGGCCAAGGGGCGCTTGTGCCTATCTCAGAGGGTTTTGGCGCCACACCATCAATCAACAAGTGACATGGAAATGGTATTGATGGCTTAAAGGCATCGCTTACTGAAGATCTTTGCTCCGATATTCAAGGTATTATCGGATCGCTGCCTGGGAATGGACCGGCTGTGGAAATCGCCCGGCTACTATGCTACCGAGTCCTTAATCAGTGGAACAATTTTGTAAGCGCAATTGAGCGCACGCATACCAAACTGGTGGCCGTTACTAGATTTTCGGAGAAAATAGCCTGGAAGTTGATGGGGAGATACGGCGTGGCTGTATTTGAGGCCATGCAACCATATCGTGCGGCAGCCGCGCAGTTGGAGAACCCCAAAACATTGGACGATCAAGCCGCCCTTCCTTGGGTCGTCTTACAATGTCATCGAGTTGTAGACAAATTCATGGTGAACTTTGAAGGTCATCCAGCGATTGTACGCGAGATGAGCCTTTTCATTCTCACAGAACGGGTTGATCCAATTCAGTTTGCGGCTGTAGCTGAGCAAAACAAGGAGGTTAGTCAAGAAAACGCAGCCTTGGCAAAGAGGGTTAAGGCCCTTGAGGAGTCACAAAATGCTATGAAGAGGCAGATTGACAGCTTGTCAAATGAACTGAAGCAAATAAAGAAGAAGAGCTGAAGGGTTGGCAATGCCTCTCCAGGATTGCCTTCTGGCCGAACTGGTGTCAGGCGGAAGAGGAGAAACATTGGAGACCTTTTAGCAATTAACCAAGGTTGCCATGACGTTTTGAGGAGAAGACGGCTGTCTTGATCGAAAAGGACTTTGGTCCTTCAAGAATACTCAAGATGGGGGGACATGAGTAGCCCTGAACCGTCTCAAGAGAGCGTTGGTTGTTTTGTTGAGGAATTAGCAAATCCATCTGATCCACCCACCAACGTCAGGACAACAAGTTCTACAGAGTACTTCAAGAGTCAGGGGTTTACCATATCGAGTTCTACAAGTTGGTCCAAAAATTCTTCTATGTCCTCGACAGGCACCAACACTAATAATGTTCCTCAGCGCAAGGCCAACATTTTGGAAACGTCTGTGTTGCAACAGAACGTCGATGAGGCAAACTCCCAGTCTCGAAGTCCTACACAAGGGGATCTGACACTTTGTGGTCTGGCCACGGGTGTCGTGGATTGTGGTCTACGACACAAACTTCCTTGTGTTATCTTTGGAGATGCATACCCATGGTGGTTGGCGTAAGCTTCACATTTGGGGTACGAGCTTGCTGCAGTGATTCTACGCTCCGATAGGTGGCTATCTGCCGTGGAACAGTCTTTACCAGACGAGTGTGCTGTGTGGTGTTCGCCCACATGGTCCTCCCTTGTGGAACGACCCATTTGCCATTTGGGGGATCGTTCAGCGGTAGCATTGGTCGATGGTCGTGTGATACAAGAAGGACTGGACCTCTCGGAAATCTTTCAGGTGCCAACGGTATTGGGGATAGCGGGAGCACATTGTCCGGTCAGGAGATGGATGCAAGTGGTCGCGAAAGCTAATCACATCTGAAACAGTTGCCTGGTGCTTTTGGGTGTCATGGAACTTGTCCTATATTGTCCAGTACTTCCCCCTTAATGCTATAGCGAAATTCCCTTAATTGACAGTTTAATTGGGTAAAAAGGACAAGGACACCGTGTTTTCTATCACCACCCCATGTGAAGCCTATGTGATAGATGAGAACCCCTCGTCCTTTTTATGACATCGGAAAGACCTTTTGAAGTGGACCCATTTGATTGAGAGCCATCCAATGGCTTCCTCTTTCTCATTGTCCATGTCATCTCATCAAATGGCCAACGCCTTAAAAGGACCAGATCCTTGTCAATTTATGACAACTATAATGACCTACAAAACAGAGTTTCCTTGCCTTCTGAAGAACAGGCAATGGTGATTAAAGGGCATACAGATTATGAATGTATTGGAAAGATCCTTTTGATTATATCACAAACACATTTGCTTTATTTGACGATCTAATGACAACCAATTGACGAGGCTAGACCTCTGCAAACATACTTTCCAATGCTTCCGGAAGGACAGCCAGCGATCCTTCAGCAATAGGTATCTGTCTCTCGTTTGCAGTAGGAGGCACTGTGCCCTTTACATAAATGTCTGCTCCACCGCGCATCTTCCACAGTTCGTACTCTTCTAGGGCTGCCCCTGTGCGGGATTGCCTTCTTAACTTACCAATTGAACTCAACTTCTCGTTGTAGCTTTCAATTCCCTGTCGACTCCAACCAGATGACTTCAGCTTCAAGCCATCGTCACTTGATGTGAATTTGGCATTGAACTCCTTGCTTATAGCAGCATGTTCCTTACCTCGGAGTCTTGCTGATTTGGGATCCTCATGCTGTTTCCTCCAACGACTCTCATAGTTCTCAAGTAGCACCAGGGCAAATGCCTCGTCACTCACGGTGAAGATGTTGCTGATCGTCTCCTCCTGCTTCCGCACATCAAATTTGGTGTTTGTGCAATTGATTGATGGCATGATCCGTTTCACTAGGTAATGAAAGGATTGGTACTGCCCCGTCCTTGCTTGCAAAACTTTTGTGCCATCCTTTGTCAGGTAGTCTCGATATCCTTGGCCACAACTCCTGTATCCAACAGCTGCATCAGTGTTCTTTTCCAGGAGATCGACCACCAAGCTATCGGATGGGACTTTGTCAAGCTTCAGGTCATCTGGTAGTAAATGGAATTTGCAGAAACGAGGGTCAGACACCAACAGGAGACTTCTTCCAAATATCAAAAAATTGAAATCACTTACTTAGAAACTTTGATCTTGCAGCATTGTGACAATTCAGTCGCAATGCCGCCATCCGTTCTTTCACACTCTTGTGGTACTCTTCCGCAAATACTTCTGGGTCCACCCCTTGGTCTAACCTCACCACCTCTGACCCTACGGCCAACTTGCATACAGCCTTGTTGTGCAATTCAGATAGTGGGAACTTTGCATTAGGAAAAATGCGTTTGCCAACAAACTTGTTCAAATTCATGTGGATCATCTCCTTAGTGGCACTCCTTCTCAGTATCTCTAGCTGCTCTTCCTTGGGCAAGTACTGAGGGTCAGCGGTTGCCCCATTGGGTGCTTGAGGTGCTGGAGGCTCTGGACATGGTACAGTAGTTTCCCCTGCATCAGCTTCTTGCTCCATGGCATCAGCTCCAGCGTCAGCCTCTTGTTCGTCTTGCAGTGCTTTACGTATCCCTGCACTCTTCCAAAGTTGGGAGTCAACTCCTGCTGGGTTGTACTCTTCTGTAGGTACAGAAGGGGGGGTTACCGTAGTATTGGTTGCCAGTGGTCTCTCTGGTGTGGACTGCATTTCTCTTTCTGCCTCCGCCTGTTTGCGGGCCAATGCTGCCTCTAGCAAAAAGACAACCATGTTAGAAAAGGTGGGGATGAAACACGGCATTGGAATCTGATGGACTTGCCTTTTAACCTCTGCCTCTTTTGATTCTCATTCTCATGGTCATTGGATGAAGATGAGCTACCTCTCTTCTCACCGCTGCTATGAGGCATTGTCCTTTTAAAGAGTTAGCCTTTTGCTTTTTCAATTGTGAGATGTTCATGTTCCAAACGAAGTAAGACCCCTTTCATGTTCCAGGCTACAGAAAGGCTACTAGCAGTAGAAACATGGTATGTATCTACAGAATTATCTGGGCCAGTGAAATTTAAAGAATACTGCTGTATAAAATGTACCAAAATGTACTGCGAAAAATTATGGCGCACAAAATGGTACTTTGTTAGTTGGATTTGGCCCCTATGTTCAATACGTTCCATATCAAATGACTAGACACCTTGTTTTAATGGCCAACCTTAGCCCTCAATCACAAGGAAGCCCTGTAGATCCCATAGGATCAGTTCTAGCTGGCCTTAAGAATGGGATTGTAGATTTGCAAACTGAAATTGACTAGTTCTACATGAGTTGACGGATACATCAAATGGTAGACATTGATTTTTAATCTTGTTAGGGTACTATATTGTGTTGAGTATTGTTCAGTCTTCGCTGATGGCAGAATGCCTCTTGAAAAAAAGAAATCAACTGCTTTTGCTGATACTGTACTAGTCTCTTCACCTTTGGAACCAAGCCATTGTCTCCAATGCTTGCATCAAGGGGGATTGTATTCTCGCTCAAGCAGAATATCCAATTCAAGAATCTGAAAGCATCATCTATGATCATACTCCTGTCACAGATTTTCCTATCGCGGCGTCGGCCGTCACGGAACCCAAAAAAGGTTTCTGCCAGTATTTTCTCTTGCAAGTCTTACTTGAAACCGGTGGATTATTGCATGCCTTCAATCGTCGAATACACACGTAGTCTCTTTACGTTTAAATCGAGCCTTGTGTTGGCCATTACTCATCTTTCTTGGTTCCCAAAATATTGAGTCAATTGAGGACGCCATATATTATCTGTCAAATCCAGCTGTGTTGGATTCGACAGGTAATATAAGTAAGCGTTTCATCATTAACATAGCAATAATATCAACTCCTAAGAATTGCGTTCGCTTTCATGCCTTGGTTCACCTTGCTTCCAAATGGTTTGTTGTTGACACAAATGGTTTGTTGTTGACACAAGACCAGCTGCCGTCACTTCTGACATAACTTTCATGCTTCGGATCTTGGAAGTATTTGAGACATCAAAAATCGCAGTGCAATAAGCCCCCAATTTTGGATTCACTCTGCGATACGAAAGCATAGAAACTGTAATTGGCTCAGAGGTGCTTGAACATCATTTCAATAGGTAGTTTAGACACATTCGTTTGTTGATTGTTTCCTCCTCCACCAGCACAGAATAAAAACCGTTCTTGTTGATCATTGAAGATGTTCCATGGGTGGCTGACTTCTCAGACTGCCGGTACGTGGAGAAGTACCAAAAACCGCAGTAGCAGTCCTTGCATATCCTGGCAAATGTACAGGCCGGTGATGTGCTGTGAGCATACCAAGTTTGGTACGGGTTTTTTCTGTACAATTTTGTACCATCAGAACTCAAAATCGGCCGGCGCTGCACCAACAAAACAAACACATCTGCCCACAGCAATGGTATTTGACGTCAATTGATTTCAATCTCCAGTCGTCCTTTCAAAGAGCAACATTGCTCATCACCTTCTGAAGCCAATCATCATACTGTTTGTTGTTTGTTGGGCACAGTGATTCCTTCCTATCCATTGCACTAGGAATCCATTGCTGTTTCCTCCGGTTATGAAAACAGTTTCTGTGTTTGTTGGTTTTGGTCTTGACGCAGCGAGCCCGTCACGACAATTTCTAGTACTTTATTTTATGTACATTTTGACTGTGCCAATCCTCAAGCGGTATCCAACTTTTCGCACTTTCCTCCTTCAGCCTAGTATTGTAGGGCTGCTACGCTGCCCCAGTACCAGAATTTTCGTACAATCCAAGACTGATTTGAAAATTAAAATTGCATAGCAACATCATGTCGGCTCCAAACATCCCACAACCATCTATCTACATCCCACAACCATCTTTGTACATCTCCAAATTTGAACATGGAGTTGCCAAAGGTGCTGCCGGACTCATCGGCAACGATTCTTGTGTCAGACAAATGTCGGTTTCCAAGAGTTTCAATGAAAATAGGAATAAGTCTGACAGCGTTTGTAGTCTCCTTTTCATGCCGGTTGTCTATATTCCTGGTGACAAAATGGACAATCCAAAATACCACAATAATCCTACTTTAAACTTCCTTGAACAGGACCCAAACCACAAACGGGCTATTTCCAATTGTTGATGATGATGATGATGATGATGATGATGATGATGATGATGATGATGATGATGATGATGATGATGATGATGATGATGATGATGATGATGATGATGATGATGATGATGATGATGATGATGATGATGATGATGATGATGATGACGATGACGATGACGATGACGATGACGATGATGATGATGATGATGACAATGACAATGACAATGACAATGACAATGACAATGACAATGACAATGACGATGATGACGATGACGATGACGATGACAATGACAATGACAATGACAATGACAATGACAATGACAATGAAGTAAAGGCCAAGGACAAGCACTCTTCGGATAAATGCTGCCGTCTTTGGGTTCTTTGTGCTGGTTGCTTCTGCTCAGTCTTGTGAGCCTGTTCACTGGGACCAGAATCCCATCCACGAGGAGGCCCCCAGTGCAACATGTAGAGGGGGACGTGAAGCATCAGATGATTCTTGATCAAGAGAGCCCCCATGCCTTTTCGAAAGGTAGTCTCCCTTATCCAATCAGTGTAATAGTCAAAGACCTTCCCCAGTCCTTCTGGGTTAAGGGCATGCCTTGCCGGGTACTTTTTCTTCTTCAGCCATTGCTCCATTGTCAAGACTAACTCAAAGGCACCCACCTGATCCTTGTAAAAAGTGGGATACATGGTACGCTCCAGGAGCATGATAAATCGGCCCCGGTCAGATATCATAGCAAGGTACAAGCACAAACAAACACCAGCCTGCTCGTGTCCACATTTCTTGGTCTTGTCAAACAATGAGTTATTGAATTTGGTCCTGGGCTTCTTGCGATCCGATTGCCTTCCAAGACAGGCCCCATATTGATGGCCAATGATGTCCAGACTTTCCAAGGTTTTCTTCACCCACCTTTTAAATTCGGCCTTAGCTGCAAGAGAGGGATCAGCATCATCTGTGTCAGCACCCTGCTCTTCTTCTCCAGCATTGGGTTTGTTACCAGCTTGGCCTATGAGGCCTTCAAGCGATTCTACAACCCGCACCATCCCCCCTTTTTGATGCATGTGCAGTGTTTCTGCTGGAGTTCCCCAATGAATTTTGCGGAAATTCACACCAAAGCAGATGGGATCAAAGGCGTTGTTCACAATGCTGTGGCTTATACTGCTAAAGTATTCAGCAGTGTGTCCATCCAATGTGGGATCTACCTTGCTGGGATCAAACAGGATCCAAGTATGCTTCTCCTTGGGGCTTACAAGATCCTTGGTTGCACAATTGCAATGCCGACAATGAGACTTCATGCCATGGGTTTGGCTACCACCTGTCTTACCACAAAGCTTGTCATGCATGGCAGTATCACCAATGAGGAAGGCAACGGAGAATTTCATGTTGACCTGGAATTCTTCTCCATTGTAGGTCCATTTAGTGATGTCGGCCAGTGCCACTGCAAGGCTGTTCTGAAGGTTTACCATTTTGTCATGTGCGGTTGCTTTTTTCTTATGATGAGCAAGCTCCACAGTAGGATCGGGGTAGTAGAAGAATGTGGTATGGGCTTGCTCTTTATTTTGGGTGTCAGTGTCCAATATTCCAAGTGTCAAGTTGAAGGGACAGGCTGTTAGCTTTCCTTGCTTGTCCGTGGTGATTTCATCCCCATACAGTATGATGGGCACCAGCATTTCCCTTTTGCCCTCATCACACTTCATTTCCATGGTGTCACGCCACCAGGTGCCATGATGCATTTCACTGACAGGATCGGGTTCGTCTTGGGGATCTGGTCTGAACTTGAAGGGGTTGGCTGGATGGGGCAAGGAGATATTCTCACCGTTGGGATCCGTCACATCAAGGTTTGTAAGAAGCTCATATACACAATCCAAGAAGGGGCGGATAAAGAGACTAGTAGGCCAATTGTCAGGGAGCCAGTCAATCATGTGTTCCTGGAAACCATTGGTCTTTTCTACCCCCAAGTGCAGTCAAAACTGAGTAAACAATTCAGACCGAGTGGTCGGGTCCGACAGAAAAAGATTAGGCTCTTTCTTGGTCCCTTTGTGGGCCCATCCTTGCGAGACAAAGGAGGTGAAGGTCAGCTTCCATTTGGGTGCTGATAGATGGTGGCATGAATTCCCGGTTGTACTCAGTCGGTCCAATAGGTAGTTGGAAGAATCAGGATTGGGGATGTTGTGAAGAGGTGGTTGGGGGGCATGTGGATCATCAACTTCAAAATTAATAGTTGGCAATGTAATATCATTAGGAAGATAGTTAGCCCCATACTGGGATCCTACATCAAGATCCATTACAAAGGACCCATTTGGATTGTTCCTTGCTTCTGACTCTATGGAAAGTTCTGCGGATTCCTCCTCCTCATGGTCATCATCATACTCAAAGTTGACAGATTCTCCATCGTCTTCTGTTTGAAAACTAGGATCCAAATTGTCGTTGAGACGGGAGTGGATGTAATTCCTCAGCCCTTCCTGAGATACTTGAGGTGGAAGTTTAGATGGGCATGTCTGGCTGTTGATTTGTTGGTTGCTAAGCTTGCTTTCTGGAGCAGAATAATGGGCAAAAAGAGTCTTTGAAACAAACTACTGAAAATCAGCCAACAGAGTGGCTTCCCGAAGCATTCCAAATGACCCCTTCTTCTTTTCTGTCTCGTTCTTTTCTTCTTCCATGGCAGCAGTGTCTTCTTCTGATCCACCGTCAGGTTCAAAGCCTGGCATAATATCAGTAGGGCTAGTGATATTGCTTACAGAATCCCCAACTGGAAGGGGATTGGCATGGTGATTTTAAAGTCAATCTCATCAACAGACTTGCAGACTTCATTTCTATAAGCCCGGGCAAAGCAGGGGTCCTTCTTAAAACCTGGTTTTGCGGTTGACCTAAGATGTTGTGAAAGACCTGATGAAGTAAGCTTCCCTTGTTTGTTGCTATATTGCCCCTTGAAGTTTCTTTTACAGCATAGACACCGTAGTGGAACATCTCCGTATTTGGGCCTCTTGCTTTGTGGTTCAGTATGGTGGCTTGCCATGACAAAAAAGTGCCATAAGAAGGAGTGCGGGGAGTGATAAAATGCTGATCAATAGCCTTTTTGTCCATGGATTGTGAAAAAAGGACATCATGTTGGGATGTGCAGGACAACGATGACCTTTTGGAAGAAAAGGACCTGACAACCAATGTCTCATGGTTGTCATAATGACTCTTGTGTGTCATTTGCCCCAAAGGAGTGTCAAAAAAAGGGGGCTCCTTGTGAAAAAAAGGACAAGGGACTTTTGGGAAAGACAAGGCATGCCGCAAAAAGGGCAGACCATGGGGAATTTTGGGCAATTTGTTCCTAAAAAGGTCATACCTACTGTTTCAGATGCACGCTGAAGTTGGAGGTGTAACCCACACCACATGTCATGTGGTGGCGTGCACCCTGAAAGGAACGGCTGTCAGTGCCATACCCCAACCACATCTACCCACTATAGTGAGTTGGGATCTCTACTCTGTGTTATCTGATGTGGAAGGAGCTGGAATGCTACGTGCGCCACCTTGGTCCCCGCGTGTTATGGAGTTGTCAGTGGTGAATGTGAGGCCACAAGACAGGACACCAGTCTACCATGGTCAAGGATGGCTTCCCGCAAATCCTTCTTGCTCCATTTGCGTTCTTACTCCTTCTATCTACGCTGGATCCACCAACAAGTGGATGCTTCGGAAACTCACAGATGGCGAGTTCCTTTGGTTGTACGACTGCCCAGAACGGTTATTAGGGGTCTTAAGTCCGTTATTGGAAAGCAAATTTTGCTACCTCCGGGAAAAACTTTGTTGTCTGCAGCTTGTTCTGCATGCGATGCCTTGCATCAAGTTTTGAGTAACGCCTCCCCAGATCGTGGATTCAGTCAAAAAGGTCGCGTGAAGAGCCTGAAAGCTGTTGGAGGTCTAAGCAAGGCCCTTCTCATATAGCTGGGCCGCCAGGAAAATTGCAAAAGATCTTCCATGAGAGGGTAAATATTGGACAAGACATTGTGAAAGAGGTAGAAAGTCTGACGATGCGGAAGTACCAGTTTATCTTTGGACTGTGCATTACATGGAAGAGTCCATCATCTCATGGACTATTAGAACAAGAACAAGATAGAAGGGGCCATGGAGGTTTTGAGGGAGAAACTGTTCTTGCTTTGGTGGAAGAAGAGGGTCTTTAGGTCTTATCTGGATTGGATGGCAACAACCGGAAAGAGACCCAAAGAGGATCTGGGGAGAGAATGGATCAGGAGGATGACAAGCCCAAGTGGGAGCTTGTTCAGGTGTAAATACGGATGGCAAGATCAAGGGCAAGAGAACTATCAACAATGGCATCAGGACCGAAGAACAGCAGACCCATGCAAGGTTGAAGCAGGTAGCGATGCAATCTGTCGCGCCTGGAATTCCACCTGGTGGGAATGGGATGATGGGTTGAGGCCGTTTCATTGGAGGTGGCCATGTTGGTACTAGGAAGTCATTCGGGATGGTTTAATTGAAGGTGTACCTGGATGGCAAGAAGCCCTCCTACCACAGGCCACAGAAGGATGAAAGAGATCCAAAGATAAAGGAGGCCATAAAGAAGAAGCTCTTGAAAGTGAGAATGCGACGGTACATTTCGAAGGGTGTTGTAGTCTCCTTGACCTCCTTTTTTGCAGTTCAGAAAGGAGACAATGATATCAGGATGGTTTATGATGGCACAAAAAGCGGTTTGAATGATGCCATGTGGGTGCCACGGTTTGGTTTACCAACAATTGAGACTCATCTAGGATCTATCGAAGAGGGCACATTCATGGCAGATGTTGACGTGGAAGAGTGCTTCCTAAACTTTCCACTACATCAATCCTTGCAAAAATTGGCAGGAGTGGACTTCACCAAATATTTCCCGGACCCAAGTCAATCCACAGTTTGGGAATGTTGGCATCGTGCCTTGATGGGAGTGAAAAGCTCCCCCTATCAAGCGGTGCAAGGCATGACAGTTTCGGATGAGGTAATTTGTGGGCAACCAGAGGACTCCCATAATGTCTTCCGGTGGAGCAGAGTGCGTTTGAACTGTCCAGGCGACAAGGACTATGATCCCTCAAAACCTTGGGTTTCCAAAATCAGAAGTGATGGCAAGATTGCAGCAGATCTGAGTGGATATGTGGATGACTTGCACCCATCCGGTTCAAGTCAGGTGGAGGCTTGGCACACGTCACGTCAAGCGGCCAGTACCCTGAATCATCTCGGAATCCAAGATGCCGCATGCAAACTGTTAGAAATAAGCGATCCCCTGCCGCCTGCAATCTACCTGTTCAATTGACTGCAATTTAGCTGTCCAGGTATTGTTGCCTTCTAAGTATGTGAATTTACAGTATATAGAAGTATATAGATCTACCAGCAACCCTACTTTATCAACCAATTCACTCGTTGCTTGTGATATATTATGAAAAATGAGAACAATCTGTCAACTTTTGACTTTGACTCTTTCTTCCCCAGCTCAGTGGAAATTCTCAGAATTCTCTCTACATCAGCCTGATATGCTGCAAGTTCAATGTGTTTATCCGTTCACCTTCCACTGTAGTCGGTACTTTGATTAGTATCCAATTTTGGTGCTTGCTTGAATCTTGTTTTCTTACATCATCAACAGGATGATTTCCATAGAAATATGATCTGTATTCTGACTCGCCACGCGCAATATTTTTAGTCGCATCAGTCTTCATTGTTAGTCGTATCAGTCGACATCTTTTCTCTATCGTTCACATGTATTCTCTTTTTCTTGTTTCTCCAAATGTGTACTTCAAAAATCCTAATATATCCAACACACTCCTGCTGTTTCATTAACATAGTTGATGACAACGGAACATCAAAGGAAATTGCGTTGCTCCTAATCTTGTTCTCCTTGGATCAATGATCTGAATTCCAAGTATTTTTGTCCCTGTAGAGGTTTGCTCATGAAATCTCCCCACATCTTTTCAGTTGGACAATATTCAAAAGTCACATTTCCTTTCTTGACTTGATCAGTCATAAAGATATATCGAATGTTCAAAGCTCAGCTTCGCTTTCCGGCACTATCACGTCCATTCTTTTCCAATAGAATTGAACTCTTGTTGTCCTGATATAGGATGTTCTCTTCAACAGGATAACCTTGTGCTTCCACAAATAATTTTGTCCACAATATCTGTGTTGCAGCATCATGGACATCAATCAACTCGGCTTCTGTTGAACTTTGACTGTTCAGCTTCTGTTTCTTTGAGATAATTTGTAATCCTCCTTCACCCATAGTCAATACACCCCCAGTGTGAGTTCTGAAATCTGGATGAACTGCAAATGATGCATCAATATACCATTTGAAAGATCGTAAATCTTTTGCACTCAACGTCAGGTGCATTCCCTTTGTCCCATTCAGATAATACATCAGCGTCACTAGCTTCTTCCAATCAGTTTGATTTGGCATCTGCACTCTTGTAGAAAGTACTGAAATAGTTGGAGCAATATCCAATCTCGCTCTCTTACTCAGAAATAATCCTTTGGCAATGAATGTATGAAAAGTTTCACGTTTCTCATCATCCAATTTTTCTCCTTTTCTGATTGATAATAAATCACTACTTGCTGGTGTCTTACACCCTTCATTTTCCTTGAACTTCACAGGAAATTCATTCAACATTCGATTGACATAGTCATCCATTCGGACTTTGACTTCCCCTCTTTTACTGAAATCTAGGGTGATTCCCAAATATTCGTGAATTTTTCCTTGCTTAGATTTGACTGGCTTGATTGAACCATATTTTTTATTCATCCATTCACAAAAATCATCATTCACATTTGGATCGATGTGGCTTGATAAAAGATCGTCCACATGAAATCAAATAGTTTGTTGTTTGCCATTCACAATCTTGTTGGCAATACATCCATTGTATGGATTAAAAACAAAACCATGTTTCTCCATGTCTCCTCTCAACTTTTTGTACCAGAGCATAGAGGCCTCTAACATCCCATAGATGGCTTGCAATACTCTCACATAAATCACTTGTTTTCCGTTCTCAATTACAACGTAATCACAATACCTTGGCTCCAGTTGTATCATCATGTCGACCAATAATCCAGTGATCTTCATCATCACTCTCGATTTTGCATCCATTGGCATTTGAGTTTGAATAAATGCATTTGGAATGTCCAAAGACATCATATCTTGTCCTTCATACGCATCAATCACACATGTGATCAGAATCGCTTCCAATGCTGCAGTTGGACTTGAAGTATCCTCTCGAGATAACCATTCTTGAGTTCCATCTCCTTTGTAGACACATCTTCCCTTTATTTCACCAGTGTTTTTTCTCAGCTAACATGAATTGGTTCCCAACATTCTCTTTGCATCAATTGGTCAAGCTCTTTCATCACAGCTTTATTACCTTCTTCTTTGAATATTTTCAGTCCCTTATTTAGGTAGTATTGTTGGATAAACGATACTCCTTCATTTTGGACTTTATCCTTGATTTGTTGCATGAATCGTGCAATCAGAGTTGCCTTATCCCTTCTGAATAATAGATTGCATTTTGACTCTTTATTCGGAATCCTTTTCCTTGAATTTTCCTTCATTGAAATGATTTCATTCAAATAACCTTTCCATTTCTTGATTTTTTCCTTTTTTCTCATCGCACTCCTGTTCTTTAACGAATTGCGCTTCGATTTCTTTTGATTCCGGTATTGGTCTCATTTTTATTCCATCTTGAACATAAGATTTACCACTCCTGGTTTTCCTTGGACTGGATATGTCCTGTTTATTCACCTCATCATTTTCATTATTATCATTGTCGCTTGATTTGTCCGAATTATTGTCAGATTCATCATTTTCATTATCATTATCATCCAAATCTGCCACAAATTCGCGAACACCATTGACTTGATTTTCACATTCTTTGATTTCATCCTGAATTCGATCAATTAAAATGTCATTTTCCTCATATGTTTCGCGTGTTTCCTCGCTTTGTTCTTCATCGTTAAGTGATTCGACATCTTCTTTGTCCTTTTGAATGTCTTCTTCAATTTCTTGAATCTTTTCATTTAAATCCTCATCATTCTGATATTTGTCATTGGGATTGGGATCTTGATCGGAATCTTCATCATCATTTCTCCGTCTCAATCGTTCATAAATACTTGCAACACTCCTGTCTTCTACCTGTTCTTCAACATTTTTGGTGTGTTCATCATCATAGTTTTCAATAAATTCTTCCGCTTCTTCAAGTAAAGCATCAATTTCATCTTGAGCAATCTTTTCATTACGAAGATTCTCATCGCTTCGTTTGTATTATTTTTGCATGGAATATATGTATCATCCCACAGTTCATCTGGGTCCACTCCTGCAAGCAAATCACCATCCAATATGATTTCACCATTCTTCCAATGATATAAGTACGCAAATCACAAACGCCTTTGTCGTGTGCCATTTGTTCCACAATTTTGATCACTTGTTTGGTGATCGGAAGTAGCGTTACATAGGGTCTTGTTACTGTCTTTTTTGTATCACGATCAAGTAACACATATCCAGCTTGAATGCTATCATTTGCTCCAAGATAAATACCATCAATCGTTCTTGACTGTTGACTGTTGTTGGTTGTATGGCCATATCCTTGTACAAATGATCCAATTTCAGCAACACATTCTTTTGAAAAATCCACCGGTTTTCGTCTCACAATCATATGTGGACTGTAATATTTTGAAATTCCCTCCTTTGCAGGATAAAAGTTAATAACCTTTGTCACATGCTTGAGTAAAGCAATAGTCAAAACCTTAGGAATTGCCTTGAACACCAATCAATGATAGTGTGCTTGGAATAATCCTTTCAATGTTTGATTGCTGCGCTCAATAGTTGGTCTGTGGTCGCCTGGCGCGGCATAATTCATGGTCACATCCATGTTATCTTCCACGTCATCAAATACCGGTTTGAATTTGTTGTCGCAATAAATAGTTTTGATTCGAAATTCCGCATGATTATAAATGCGTATAATTTTGTCAATCAACTTGTAAATAGCATCTTTCGTCTGATCTTTTGATTCAGTACAGAATCGGAATTTGATCGCCATGTCAATACTGACAAAAAACGCGACATTGTTGATAAAAATAATGTTGATGCATAAATCCAGGTTCGAATTGTGGTTCAGGAGTTCTTTGGGCATTTCGATCCAATCATCAACCAACCCTTTTGGTGTTGGTCGTTTCTTGCCCTTAATTGTTGAAACGCTCGGTCCATATATCTCTTCAGAGATATTAACATCTTCTTCCGTAATTGGACAATTTTCGAAAAAATTTCGCCGAATGGCCAACTTGAATAGTTCTGCACCAGGTGCTCCCATCATATGATAGCCACTAGTTTCACTTGTTTCTTTGTGAAACCCTCTTTGTTCTTCTCCACACTTTGCAGAGCACAGTACCCTTGCATATCATTATTATCAAGACCACGTGCATGATTATGGAACATTGCTGTTGCCACAGCAGGTTCGTCAACTAAAGTATATAGTCCATTGCAATTTCCAAATCGTTTCTGGTTACAAAGAAGCTGTTCTCTCTCTTTGTGTCCATGAATACATCAAATCCATCTTGTACCATGTTCGACAAACTGTTGATGTTGTCGCTAGCTCGTGTATCAAGCTTACAAATAGAATCAAATACCTTGTCAATTCCTTCTCGATAAAGGTTTCTTCCCTCCACATTAGAGGCATAATGGAATCCTCCATCAATTCCTTGTAGACTTCCTTCTTTAAAATCATCTTCATTGGTTTGCAAATGAAAAGTAGATCCACTATCCAAGTGGATACCAGTATTGTTGATTTGGAACAACATCATCCCTTGTTGTCTTGGATGATTGTCAGTATGTCCTCGTTGAATAAATTGTCCTCCATGGGATCCATTGTTAGAACGTCAATAGTTCCATTGAGTATTTGAATCTCCTGATGCATTATCATCACACGTTACATTCTCATCACGTTGCATATTTTGTCGATTACCACGACCATTCACGCTCAAATAATCCCTATATTTGTCCGTTTTTTTTCACTGTTCCCGCGGCTTCAATTTGTCCATACAAAACACGCCCGAGTTTGTTGTTGCAAAAACTGAGCTCCGTCATTTTAATTGTTGTTTGACTTGTTTTGTTTACTTTGCCCATTCAAATTTCCTCCATTCGAATTCTTCTTCCTGTTATCGTGTTTGTGTTGATTCAAAACATCAGCAGCATTTTCCAAAGTAGTTGGAAATGTACAACGTTGTTTGAAATCCAGATTCTTCAACGTGTACTGCGCCGTTGTTCCATCAATTCTTGATTGATACTTGGCTCTATTGGAATTATACAGAAATCCGTTGGCCATGAATCTTTCCCATGATTCCTTCTTATGTTGCAATCGTTCAGCATCGCTTCCCAATAAATCATATTCCTGACTCTTCTCAGTAAATTTGTCCAAAAAATTATCACCAAGCAAAGCTTGCAATGCCTTTGCCCTTTCTTCAAATCGTTTACGAAAAATTGCAATGTTTTCCTTCTCCTTTTGATGATCAGATTGCTCATGGTCTTCCATAGACCAAAATATTCCCATTATGTATCAACAGTAGTCGTCATAAATTTCTTGATCCGCATCAATAACTCCACAGGATCATTGAATAGTTTGTTATCAAAGTCAGCTTCTCGCTCAAGCTTGTCAACCATATGATCGGTGCAAATTTTCATAATCATTCTATAGACATTGCGTTTATTGTTATCAAACGCGTTCTTCCTGGCCTTCCAATCCTTTCAATCAGCCAAATAATTAGTTCTTCTTTCTTCATTATTTATCTCCTTATCAGGATTAGTTACCAATACCAATGTCGGCTTCATACTTTGAATATCAAACAAATTCAAGGTTCATACACTGAATCATGTCATCAATATGATCCATCTTCATCGTTGACATTTTGATCACCAATGTCTTCTTTACTTCATCAAAGCTAAATTTGGGAATGTTTCCTCTAGTCAGAGGATGAAACTTCTTCTCTTCTTGGCTACCATTGCCACTCTTATTTCCATTGTATTGACCATTACCTTGGCCTTGCTGCAATCTGTTTTGTCCAGCTTTTCTTCCATTGGAACCACGTCCAGAATTCTGAAATCTTCCACTCATCATGAGGAAGTTCCTATTATTTCAAGTCGTTGGAATATATTGACCCCCAATTCAATTTAATTCAGTTCCTATTCTTTCAAGTCTTAGGAATATATCGACTCAGTGACTTTTTATAATATATGTTAGAAGTAAGCGATCCACTGCCGCCTGCAATCTACCTGTTCAATTGACTGCAATTTAGCTGTCCAGGTATTGTTGCCTTCTAAGTATATGAATTTACACTATATAGAAGTATATAGATCTATCAGAGATCCTACTTTAGCAACCAATTCACTCGTTGCTTGCAATATATTATAAAAAGTGAGAAAAATCTGTCAACTTTTGACTTTGACTCTTTCTTCTCCAGCTCAGTGGAAATTCTCAGAATTCTCTCTACATCAGTTCAATGTGTTTATCTGTTCACCTTTCACTGTAGTCGGTACTTTGATTAGTATCCAACTTTGGTTCTTGCTTGAATCTTGTTTTCTTACATCATCAACAGGATGATTTCCATAGAAATATGATCTGTATTCTGACTCGCCACGCGCGATATTTTTAGTCGCATCAGTCTTCATTTTTAGTCGCATCAGTCGACTTCTTTTCTCTATCGTTCACATGTATTCTCTTTTTCTCGTTTATCCAAATATGTACTTCAAAAATCCTAATATATCCAACACATGGATGCATTTGCCCTTTTCACCTCTGAAATTGCTGCTAAAGAACCCCAACAACAGAAGGTCTGAAAACTACTTTTGGAGAGGGTTCGGGGCGTCTACGAAGTCCCAAGGCAACAAATAGCTGGAATTTTCTGCGAAATTTGCTTCTCTTATTCTAATAAAGACATTGTCACCCTTTCATGTTCATTATCTGGGTTCCTACAGGACGATTTTCAACTGAGACCATTGAGTTGCATTTGTGGTTATAGTCACAATGAATTTGCACGCTCTGGAACCCATGAGAGGAGGAAGTGGAATCAGAGGTTTTGGCAAGCATAGTTATATTGGGAGCGGCAGTAATTACGTCGAGTATCTTTGGCTGGGCCGCAATTACACAAAAATCAACCATTCTTGGTTCTGTTGGTTGCTTAGACTGGACAGAAAAGTGTCTGGAAGACGTATTTGCTGAAGGCGATTCATACCTACCATCACCAGAGCTACACAAATATTCATTTTTTGGATCTGAACTACTAAAATTGACGGTTTGCGGCACATCAAGGCGCAATGATGAAATTGTTCTCCTTGTTTGGACATGGAAACCGTCGAACATGTTGTGGCAAACGTATTTGGTAGATAGACTATGGCTGGAGTGTTAGAATAAAGCAAAATGTGCTCTATCGTGAGTGCCGTTAGCGCTCAGAACAAACTCTCTGCAATCTAAATTCGTAATCGACTGTACAACACTTTCACGACAATAGTTCTCCTGTGTCTAGGTATACTTTGAGTGAAATTGTTCCTATTTGATTAATGTTTGGC